TGACCTAGTGATTTGAGGCTTGTGACTTGAACTAGGGGTTTGTGAGCACGAGCGGGTTTGCTACCAGGGTACAGCCCTACTGTCTATGGGTAGCAAGTTTGCTTCCTACGGAGATCAGGAGAAGGCCACGAAACTGTATGAAAGTGAAAACTTTGTTAATTTTTGTATAAAAAAGAGTGTAAAAAAATCACTGCATTTCATTAAAGAAGGAGGTAAAAAATCGAGTCTTCAGAGAGGAACTTAGTATTGTCTTTGCCTGTGTGAAGAATGGCAAGTACAGGCATCATCCCACTACAGGTGAAGGCCCAAATCAGTCTACATTTCAGAACGGCTGTGAATTCGCCATTAAATTACGATCGTTGGATGGAGATTTTCTAACTGTGACTCATCACGGCCCAAATCACAACCTTGAATGTACCCCAGAGGAATTCAGGCACTATCTCTCACAAAGACGTCTAGACACAAAGCAAACAAATAAAGTACGGGAGATGGTCAAGCTAGATGCGAACAAAAAAACTTATACAGGCCCATGTTGAAGAAGATACAAACAAGGCTATTCTGCTAAAGGACATCCACAACATCTCCAGAGCAACTTGTAGCACTCAAAATAATTCTGAATTGGAGGAATTAAGGAAGTTTGTGTCTGAATACCTATCGTTTGTATCAATGGAAGTGGTGATGAAGTTATAGGAATTTTTTTCCAAGACAAACAGATGAAAGAGGTATTTGCAAAATTCCCTGAAGTGCTACTTGTGGACACTACCTATAAAGTCAGTCGCCGGGACATGCCCCTCTATTCCATTGTGATTATTGATGGAAACATGGAAACCCACCCTATGCTTTTTTTCTTGTAGCAAAGGAAGATGAGGTCACATTGCGTAAAATGATTCAAAGTTTCAAGGTGAGGGCTGTGATATTGAATGAAAATCTTTGTACTGTGGTAGACGACAAAACATCTTTGAAAACCCTATGAAAATCTTTTTAAAAATAGCATTTTGATTTCAAAGACTTTGAAAGTCTGTGTAACCGTAATTTAACTGAAAAATCTTGAAAAGTCATTGAAAACATCAAAGCTGATATATTTTCAATAATTTTGTTCAATTAATTGTGTAAATAAGATAAGACAAGATGACATACATCTTTATTGCCCAGTACCTGGCACATCGGTTTGTTGTTTCACCACGTACACACATACACACACACACACACACACACACACACACACACACACACACACACACACACTCTCACACACGTATGCACACACACACACAGGCTTACAGGCACATGCATAATATAAATGAACAGCAATATAAAGAATAATAATCTCAAGCTAGATACATTCTCAATGTTATTCTGAGGCCAGGTGGACTGAGACAAAAATAGTCATTTCCGATAAGGCCTTCACGGAAAGACTTGTTTTCGGACGTTTTACGGACATTTGCCCGAGAGATGACTACTGCGAAAGCCAACATAACATCAGAGCCGAAAACCAGGCTCTTGGATCTCCTCCAGCAAATTGCCTAAAACCGAGGAGGAATACAGTGCAAAGCATAGTCAACTAAATGAGTTTGGGCGCTCAGTTGAAAACTACTTCAACCAGAACTGGCACCCCATCCGTCAAGAATGGTGTGAGGCTTTTAAGTGCCAGACCTTCAACTTCAACACTGGCACGAATAACCGGATCGAGTCAGTGTTTCAAAAGCTGAAGTCAGTTGTCACATCAAGAAGCGACCTCAAAGCCCTCATTGAGAGGATCTTTGTTCTTGTTCGAACTCTTCGCCAGCGTCAATCACACTCAACGATTATGGATTCTGTGAAGATGCGAATCCAACTTCTCGACATCGATGATGACAGGGCGTACCAAGGGGTTTTAACACCTGAAGCGTACAAGCTGGTTGAGAAAGAGAGCGTTCAGATTAAATCCATCAGCGTCTTAGAGTGCAACAACTCATATTTCACTCCCAATGGTTATAGTTGCTCATGTCGCTTCTTCACAGCTTTCCGTCTCCCCTGTCGGCACGTTATGGCTTTATTCAAACATTTGTCAGGGTCAGCATTTCATGAATTAGTGAGAAAAAGGCTTGAAAAACTCCACAATGGGGTCCTCTTACTGCATGACAACGCCCCTGCGCTCAGGGCACAACAAGCAGCCCAGATAGCAAAGCTTGCGGCTTTGAAATCCTGCCTCACCCAGCTTATTCCCAGACCTAGCCCTCTCAGACTTTTTTATATTTCTTTATCTTAAACAAATATTTATATAATGTCGTTTACCTGACAACGTTGACACCGTTGAAGCTGTTAAAGACAGGTTAGGGGCCCATTCTGGGTCATTTTTCTCTCAAGGACTTTTGAAGGTCAAAGAGAGGTGGCAGAAGTGTGTTACTCTGCATGGTGACTAGGAACAGAAATAAAAGTATGTGCGCCAAGTTACAAAGCTCTATCTTTATTCTTTTATATTTAGACCTAAGACTCACTTGCCCCCCCCGTATATATATATATATATATATATATATATATATATATATATAACAATAAATGTGTGTGTGCCTGGTGAAAGTACTCAAGATGACGCATTTTAAAAAATCCTATTTTTTTTGCATTTTCATGTACAGAGATCATTTCTGAACAATCTCCTTGTTGAATTTTAAAGATATATATCAGTAGTTTTTTAGATATGGGTGGTTTTGTAAGGCAGGGTACGGAAACAAAGTTTTGAGAAAAAAGGCTTCAAAGTTTACCCTTTGTTTCTGTTTCAAATAGATAGATCTATGCTTCGAGACGACCTGACAACGCTTTGCTACTCACAAACCAACTTTACAAAGCTGCTAAGTTAAAAGAACAGCCGCAGAGTATTTATATTACGTCTTCAAAACAAATTCACCACCTCATTGAGCGAGAATTTTCAAGAAATAGATCTAGGTTTGCGCCGAGCAGAATTAAGCAACACAAGTTTGCTCTCCAAAAAGACAAAAAAGGGTGTGGATTCGCAAAGCTTCGCTTTGTCTACATGTTCTAGATATTCATGCGCACTACCCGCCATTAGAGAGGGGAGCTTGTAACGGAAAACACCGAAGATGTCGACTGCTAAAGGGCATCCAGTAAATACACATGGGATTAGTCCAGCAGGTCGACGGCGTGTCCTGTAAATACACAGGAATATGCTCAAGTGAATTGTATGTAATCTTTTTCATTAATGAGGGTGTTGATGTTGGAAGGGGTCTAATTATGAAATGTCCCTCGTGCATCATTTTTTTGAAAACGATGGGCTCAGAGAAGAAGCGTCTTCTGCTTCATCAACTTCATATTGACAACTGCGGTGGGTAGAGTAAGAACAGCTGCATTCTGTATTCTCAAGTGAAGACACACACTGTCTCGTCACAGGCCACATGAAGTTCATCTACTTGTAGTTAGAGAAAGCAACAAACACATTTTTCTCATTTGAATATGAACTCTGTTATGTGCAGATTTACATTTATAATCACCTTCATCAAATAGTAATGCATATTTTGTCCAATTACCTTTTAGAAAAGATATTGGGCCTTTGAAAGCCTCTATGGGCTCCGATCTTGAAATCTGCGTAATACAATAAGTACATTTTGTCCAATTACTTTTCAGAAAAGATACAGTTATTGGACCTTTGGGAGCCTTTATGGGGCTCAGATTTTGAAATCTGCTACAATTTTGTCATTAAAACCTGACTATTCTGGAGAAAAGCAGTATTAGAAATAGGGTTAAGCTGCATAATAAGCAGACAAGATCCATGGCTTTCATGAAAGCAGAAAAACTCAAAATGGTCAGACAGTGACAAGTTCCTGAATTTTGCTGGCGACCACATACTCGCACACACACACACACACACGTATGTGCATACACACACACATGCACACATACACACACACGTGCACACACACACGCCGAAACACATTCGCACTGCAGCTCGGCTAATTCTTGGCTTTTATTAGAGTCATTTTTTACTACTGTATTATTTAGTTTGTCCACCTATTTGCATTCTTGTTTCAGTAATGTGGACAATCATCTTCTGTCTTCAACGGATGATGAGTCAGACTCCCAGTCGGCCACTAATCTTCAATCTCCGGCCAGACGTCGCCAGCGACCAGCCAGATCACACATTTCAGTGTCACAAGAAAATCTGTCAAATTATGGACGCAAAAGAGGAGTGCGCCGAACAAGGAGAGTGGATAACCGTGAGTGCTCTTCCTTACTTTTTGTCTTTTGATCCTGAGATTGACCTCCCCAACCCAAAATAGTTTACTGGTAGTTTTGACAAACACAGTATGTTGTGCTCTTCCTTTGCATTCTAATTTTCTATTCCAAAGTTCAAATGTGAGTGGGGTCTGGATTATTTTAAAGAATTTCTTTGAATAGTTCCCCTCACCAAGTGTCCTGGTAGGGACCCTGTATTTGCCTTCAAATTGATCTACATTGTGCTTAGTATGGAATTATTCTTCGACAAAAAGTGAAGAGTTTCGTTTAAGAGCACAATATCTGTGTCTGTACTGAGGCACTGGGTTTTGAGAAGATGACATGATCTGGAAAGGAAGAGTAAAATCCTTTCTATTTACAAAATTTGATCTGCCCCTTCACATATTTTTTGAGTTTGTTTCAGTTCACGCTAGAGGTTCTCTTCCCATAGTCTTCTTTTCGCATTTGGCGTTTTGCTCAGATAAAGTACTGAAAGAACCTGTCAAGGTCTAGTCGGACTTATGATGCCCACTGTTGTGTTACATTTGTTAAAATTCTGGTGTTCATCATGTGCACTCTGAAGGGCAACCCTTTTCACCTGGAATCTGTACGCATATTTAAAATGTGATTGCATTATGAAAAATATGTTGCCCTATTTGTTATTCTATGGTGAAAGTCTCTAAACTATCATGAGAAAAATCAATGACAGAAAGCTTGTTGTTGAAGGTATATAATAATGTGAACGTTGTATGTTCGGTGACTTAAGAAAGTGTGGAGTCTCATTGCTGTGTCTTTTGTTTCAGTAAAATACTTGATCAATCTGGAAGAAAAGGATGAGGATCTAGGGGACAACAACAACAGTCCATCTGCCAACTTTGAACCAAGTTCCACGCTGTTTGAGAAACTCTTTGAGGACTCTGAAAAAATGAATGTGGGTTCTCTTATATCATCACTCAAAATTTTTAAACATTTATTTGCATTCAAGTTTTTCTGTTTTTGGTTTTGGGAAAGGGATGGTTATCAATAATTCATTTTGTGTCAAGCTGAACTACTCTGGTTTGAATTGTCTGCAGGATGTTCTCGAATTACGATCATTTAAGCAGTGGTGGTGAGTGGACCAAAATTTGGGTGGGGCTTCGGTTGCGTCCAGTTCTTTACCCCCAAATAGCTAGCAATAAGAACTAAACAGTGATGATTTTTTATACTCATGGTGAGCCACGGCATTTTGAGAACCATTCAAATGAGAAGAGTTACCTTTGTTTTCCATCTCTTTGTTCTTAGTTAAATTTTTGTTGATGGTGGGGACGAAGCCGATTCACCTCCAAATTTATTCCAATTAATTTTCATGTGATAAAAGAGGTGCCTTAAAAGTAGTTCGACCTGATTTATAAACTGTGAAATCTCAGCGGCACAAACATAAACATACACACACAGCACTTCAAAGATATTACTTCTATGAGCTGGATTAGGCCGTGAAGTCACAAAAGTTGAATGCACCCAACAAAGAACCAATGAGCGCATAGGTAACTGTGTCACTGGGGGAAAGTGTGTCATAAACTTTCTCCCCATTGTCAGGGCTAGATGAGCATTAGGCCCAAATGCAGTGTTCTTTTTTCAAGGCTTTTACCTTTTTTACAAGAAGAGTTTCGTTAACTCTTTAAACCCCATCGGATACTGGGAGCATCCGGCAGTAATAACCCTGATCCCCATCGGATGCTCGGGTACCAGTGACAACTATTTCATTTAATTTCTTGCTTGTTTTTCAGTACTATTCCCGAACCAAGTTTATTAGTAATGATTAAGCCATTGTTTCTGCCATTTAGAAGTTACAGGCAAGTTTTTGGGGCTGTAATGAGACATACTGGGCCAGGTTTAGGTGACTGTAGGAAAAAACTCAGGAAACGGTGGAAATAACTCAGGGTCTTAAGAGTTAAGGACTGTCTGTAGGAAAGGGCTCATCCTTTGCTGAGCCCCAAAGACATTTGATTGGCTGCTGGGTTACTATAGTTGTAATCGGTGACAACAGTGATTGAATAAACGAACAAGCTGCCAAGTTGATCACTCTGTGTTCATTGCGTGCGGTCATAACGGTTTCAACTGCTATTTCATTATATGTAGAAACTCATTTACTTTGGGATAGAGTTGGGGGTGAGGAGGGGGGAGGGGCTCAAGTCTCAAGTCCGTGAGCCCTTCACTACCCACTGCCACTGCATATAAGATGCTTTTAACACTTTCCACCCGTGCAGCGCGCAGCGCGCAACACTAACCCCCACGGACCTGGATACAGGTGCAGTACATGCTATATCACACCGGAGCCGATTGGCGTCCCGTGGGGAAAAGGGACGGCTTCTTACTGTCACTGATCGGTGTCCCATGGGGGCAAGGTGTTAAAGCTTTCCACCCTCTTGACTACATGAATAGAAAGTACAGGAATTTGTGATGTTTCATAAAGCAGGAAGCAGGTAGGAATGCAGCAACAATCAAACCATCATCCTGATTAGTCATGTAAGCAAGGTACTGTTAATCATTCTAGTAGAAGAAAAAAAGTCTCATACGTAAAAATTAGTTGCACTGCAGGTTGAAGAACCAGCAGTTGACTACCCTTGAGATCTAACGAGGGAATGCAAAGAAAAAAAAGAATCTTCCCAAACAAGAGAAAAAGTAGAACAAGAACATACGGATTGTCAAGCAAGCCAGCAGAGGCACTACATAGACATGTTTGTCCTTTAAATAATGATAGTAAAAATAAGAAACAACAACCAAGAAGCCTTCATCACATCTTTTTTTTTCCTCCTAACTCGACAACAGTGAGACCACTGATTCCTCTGTCATCACGCCTTTATTTACATTACAATTATCCTTCAACCCCTGTCCTTGACAACTCAAAGAAAAGGACTACCCATGACCTTATTATGATTTTTATCTTGCTTTTCTATTCATTCATTCATCCTTGCTTTGACATCTTTTAATTAAAAAAAATAATCTCTTTGAAAATAGTTACAAAATCCAAGAGAAAATTGGGAAAAACACTGGAAATTTTTTCTCCTTGATATGTGGGAACCTGCTAACTAGATATGACAAACTTGATGCACAGGATCCTATCCTCATGGGAAAATTTTGTTTGAAATGACATACCTTACATAACATACAATAAATGTCAACATCAAACATTACACAAAATCACAACAATACAGAAAATCAATAAGCTATTTTTGGTTGTTGCTGCTGTACAGTGGCCTGTTCTCGAGCTACAGTTGTCATTTAGTGCTCAAGGACATATTACAGAACCCCTCCCACCTGAAGCACAAGTTATAGTACATTTCTTTATAATATGTGTATGACTGAGCTGGGAATAGAATTCACATCTTCCCCCCTCCCCCATTCTAGTATCATACCTAACAATAGAAAGGCTTACTTCTTGTCAGTCATTTAAAATGTATAGCTCGGTTACAAGGGATACAACAAACTTCTGTTGGTGTCGACCTCTCTTCTCACTCTGCCGAAAATGTTTCTTTTCCGAACCAGTTCTGGAATGCCTTCATGGAAAGCTCTGAGGAGGACCAGAGGAGAGTTCTGAACTACCGGGGTCTTCATGACATCCAAGAGGAGGAGGAAGAAGGAGATGCGGCTTACAGCAGTGGGGGAGCTCAAACTGCCGAGGATAGCTGGGTCATGATCCTGGATGAAAGAAGTGGTGAGTAGTAAGGTTTTATAGGGAGCACTACATGTAAATAGTAGGTGGCTTGGTAGTATGAAGAATTTTTTCTAACAACTTGATGTTGATAAAGTGAAGTTAATGGAGGTTGGAATTGTGGACTTGGTAATAGCAAACTGTGCCGAGGGCCTCTTAAAATGTGGCCGTTATTCAAAGCTCGCACTCATGCTTGAATGACTTCAATTTGTAAGGTGTCCTTTTCACAATGCTGACCTTGACATGTTATGTACACTCTGGGTTTTTCTTTGGTATTTGGGGATAGTTTCCTCCCAACCTCTGTTGACATGTCTTGTAAATGAGAAGCACTATGGCTTGCTCCTGTTTTTCCTTCCAAACATCTATTGACTTTATGTCTCCGCAGGTGGGTGGTTGGCGGGTGCTCTTGTGTGGTTTGCTCCTTCTTTCCTATCAAATATGTATCGTGGTTGTCTCTCCTCCTTTTTTTTGTGTATGTTACTCGCTTGTAACACATCTATTCTCCACCCCCCCGCCACCCGGAGCGGTGCCACTGACTGAAGTGTCTTTAGGCCATTCCCAAAAAAGGGACATTAACTTGTTCTTATGCACAGTAGAAATGTAAATGGGGGGATTCAACAATGTCATACTCACAACTGTGCATGAAATGCAACAAGGGAACTGCTGCTTTTTCTTTCCTAATCCTTACTATTTTCTTTTTTCCTCTACTTCTTTTGTATGTTTGTCACACTCTTGTGACCTGCTATTTCCAGGGTGCCTTGATAGTCGAAGCAGACTTTGTACTGTTGAAGCTAGAGAGGTGAGCAGCGTAAGTCTGATTCCCTGTATGGACTTCTCTGGTGACATCCACCCCTTGGCGCTCATATGACCTTATGCAGTTGCGAGCACAGTAAAACCTCTACTAAAACTTTAAAAAACCAAATTCTTTGGCGCCGATATAACCTTATTGTGATGCAATTGCTGTAAAAGTCTAACTGAAACTAAACTGTCTCGGCCTTCGTTTCTTTGTATGTTACTTTCTGGTAACCCTTGTAACTTACAGCAGTTATATGACCTAATTGTGTTATAAATGCTGTAAAACTGTTACTAAAATTATAACAGGATGTTTGAGTTTCTGCTGTGTATCAGTGGGCTAGTGACAAAGATTTAAAGTGGGGGGCCTTGATTCTTGATGCTTAACTTTTTATGTCAATCCTCTTTTGTGTTTAAAAATTCCAGTGGTCTGAAATATAGATGTACTTCTGTGGAAGATTGTATAGAGCTATTTTTTCAGTTTCAGTGGACATTGGTTTTTTGTGCATGTTGTGTGTATCTCTGTTTTAGATCATCCAGCCTTCACTCCCAAGGAATGTTATGGCCGTGTGGACAGGAAGCTGAAAAATCTGCTCAAAAGAAGACAGTTGCCAATGGTAAGCCAGTGGTTCTCAACACATTGTGTGTTATTTTTGCTATGCTAAGAGCTTAATTTGCTTCTTTGCTTTGTACTTGATTTTAATCTGCAAGGGAATGTTGTTATGCTTTGAAACGTTTGGCAGAACAAATGAAAAGGGACAGAAGGTCTTGAGGATTTAATGAAAAGGAAGAGACTGTAACATATGTATGTAGATTGACTGACCCTAGGGAATGAAACCATCACAGACTGTGTAGAATGAAAGTAGATGAACAGACTAAGAAACAAAAAAAACCCAGATAGCCCTCGGAATAAGGGTTGAGAAAGAGCAATTTAGGAATTTTTATAGAGACGGCTCCATCTTTGAACGCGTTAAGACCACAATGTTCTCACACTGGGTGAAACACTTTGTGACTATGGCTAACCTATCTATATAAGACTGAAATATCTCTATATATGGGTGGAGATTTTAAAAAAAGTATTTTTGAATCTTGGTTGACTCAGAATGCACTACAGTGGATATTCTATGCAAATCCCTTTTTACATTTCACAGGGCATGCTGGCGAACCTGGAGAGGGAACTGGTTACGTTCTTCCATGACTGCTCTTCGTCTGTGTACGTGTGTGACATCGCAAGTAGCTATGAGAGGCTCCTGTTGCACGCCCTGTGCCAGTACCTCAACCTCCACTCACAGAGTGAGTCGTCCGTTTAATGCTGGCCTTCTGTTTTTGTTTCTTTTTTTCCTTGGTGTTTTTTGAGAGACATGTATGATTGTACAGTGGGGCCCACTTATAGCAGTCTGTTAGAACAGGATTTTGGCCAATGAAGGCTTATAATAAATCTCTGAGCCTGATCCCTTATAATGTATAGTAAAAAAAGTATGTTTATAGCAAGCATTCAGAATAGGCATGTTCGGCTATAACAGTGGTTCATCCATTGCCAAACTTTTAAAACAAATGGACAAAAAAAAGCAAGAAAAAAGAAAATAAAGCAAAATAACACTGGTGGGGAATTGTACCTACATGACCCACAAGAGGCCTAAGTTGACCATGATGTGTCATACCATGTGTGCAGGGGAAGGAAAGCTGGTTGCACTCTGGTGATAACATATATCCGACGAGCCGCTGGGAGCGGCTTGCTGGAGATAAAGAGTTAATGCTATACTTTTTTCTCTTCTGTCAATTGACCCTTCTGACATAGGAGCTGAACAGGGAGAAAAGATTTAGAGCGTGAAATTTTCACTGTCATATTTGTTCGTCTGCAATAGGTGAAGTCATGTAGTATTCAAGCAGTATTCCAGGTCCTGAGGATGTTTTGGCCTCTTTGGTATAAATAATATGAGACTTTTGTTTTTTTATGTTGTTGGGGAAAGAAAACAAAATTTGTAGGTTAAGAACCAGATGCTTCTTATGCACTTGGGCTCTGTTATTGAAGTGTGACTTCTGAAAAATTACTTTTCACAAAAGATTATTTTGCTTGTCAGTGAACTTGTTGTTTTCAATATTCTTCAAACGAAATACTTCTTCGTACATCATGTAGTAACTTCAGGGAATGGATGTCAAGTCTATTATGGTCCCGAAATAGGTTTTGTTTGAAAATACAATTTGGGTTTGATTTTTTGTTTTGTTTTCATTTTGCCTCTTTTTCTTTCTTACTCATATTACTTTTTGTGTGTTTACAGCCCTGGCTGATACTTGTTTAAATTGTATCACTAATTGAATTTCTGTTGGTTTTTTTCTGCTGACAGGTTATGATGACAATGGCTCTCGTAAAACTCAGGTTGAGAATAGACATGCTCAGTTTCGTCCCCCTTCATTACTTCTCTCGGAGTACCTCCAGAGGAACCAGCATACGTTGTGAATTCGTCTAATGGACCTTCTGGCTCAGGGTGTTCAGGTGTTTTGGAATGGTATTATCAAGAAATTGTACAAATTTTGTACAGGGGTTCTACTCTCATTAGAAACTTGTCTGGATAAGAAAACACTCTTAAAATGTCAGCTGTGATCTTTGTTTAAAAAAAAAAAAATCTTGAAAGAATTCATTCCCTTGCTAAGGTCATAGAAAAGCAATGAAAAGGATATTCAAAGTGGTCACTCCAAACAAATGGTAAGCGGACTCCTCTTTATGTCTGTGGACATTTTTGAGTAGCAGATTCATTTTGTGTCCGTTTGCATCACATGAGGAAGATGTGCTATGTATTATTGTGTATAGTATTTGGAAGTGAAAAATGTGCAGCGTCTTTTGACGTACAGCTGTTATTGTAAAGTGTAATTGTGATATATAATATATATATATACATAGAAATGCTTAACTGTCAGTCAGTGCTGGGTGGGACGCAATGGAAGCTGTGCTGGGGGCATCTCCTTTGTGTTTCCCTCTATGTCTCAACTTTCAGCATATATTCTAATCCGCTGTAAGGAAAAAGGTTGTTGTGCCGAGCCTGCAAGCATGGCATTAAATGTACAGGTTTTTACATGCTCCTTGGCTGTTGGGCCAAAGGGCACAGACCCCATGGCTACTAGATTCCTAACATCACCAACACTATACTTCTTTTGTGATTGTAATTTGAATGTGTAGTTCCCTTGTTTTGTCAGAGCAAAGACAAACAGTTTATGCTTTAGTAGGATGATGAACATGCGAAACTGACCTATGATCCTGGAGCTAAGCTGTAGTGCTCGTTGGGAAATACCAAAGCGAAAAACTGGTCTATATAAAAAAGGAAATCGTAAACCAGTCTCTGTGAATGAGAAAGTGAACCAAACGATAATAGTTTTTTACTGATCAAAATATTATTATTGCCCTCTCATGTGAATAGTGTACTATTGTTTGCTGAATTTTTGGTGTTATTTTATGCTGTCAGTTCAAAATTCAGTGATGTAGATTTTGATGGAGCTGTTTTTTTCTTCATCATTCTTTTAAACATTACTTTTTGAAATTTTCTTGTTTTGTTCATGAAAGTTTTTGGTTCAGTCGGATGTATTGTTTTGGTTATTTAAGATGTCATTTTTTCTGCTTTAGGAATTTCGTTTTGTTTCTTGTAGATTCAGTAACATCCTAAGAAAGACTCATTCAGATCCTAACATGAAAACTTTTAAGTCACTTCGGGTTTGAATGCTGCAGCATTAAAAAAAATTGATTCCGTAAAAGACTGCCAATTTTTACAGCACATATTGAGCAGGACTCGTGTGTGTATGTGTCTTAAAATAAATGCAGGCAACTCCATATCTTCAGTGTTTATATTATCAATAAACCTGTAGACTACCATCTGTTCCTCCTTGTGAAGACACACTGCTTCTCTTTGAACATTTGTTAAATTTACTTTTGTCCTTAATTAGATTTATGAAGGAAGGTTTTTGTAATTTTAATATAATTCTTGAGTACCCTAGATGTGCTTCTTTTTCTTAAGTTGTCTTGGTTTTGGTGAATTTTGCAAAATGTTAATAATTTCTTTCTCTTTGTTGTTCCTGTTGAGTGGTTTTACTGCTCACCCTCTACTTTCATTGAGAAACTAACACCATTTTCCTTTCTTTTTTTTATATATAATATTTGTCCCCATCAAATGTGCTTAAAGAAATTGAAGCTGAAGTATGTTGAGACTTTAGATGATCCAAGAGTAGAATTACATTTAGAATTCTCAACAGAATAATGTTAAGCAATTTAAGGGTTAAAGTCAAACCATGCCACTCTTGTTCATGCTGTTTTCAGATCAGTGCTGGTTTGTGAATCTATTATAAAGGCATTAAATAGCAGAGGAGGTTTTTTTTTAAAGAGTGATTTATAATCTTGTACTCTTTCTTTGGTACGGTGTTCCATTTTCATCGGATCAAGGGTCTGCAGTAGTGGATGTTCCCAGAAAAGTCTCCTTTTTAAGTTTCTATAATGTTTTTCATCACGTTCACGTGTATTATTTTGTCTGATTAAAAAAAAGCCTTCCCCCCCCCCCTTTCCTCTTCACCAGCGTCCTTCCTCCCTCCTCCCGCCCCCTCTCCAAAATTAAGCAGAGTTTCCTCGCTCAGTGCAATAGTCTTCAGTCTTATCTACTTCCCTGGACTCTTATTGATCAATCCTAGTTACAACTTTTAGTCTTCGCATCATGTATAAAATTCATAGATCAAACACATTTTTTTGAAAGCCCTCCTGGTTTTGAACTCTTTGGTTCTCCCTTTTTTGTTTGCCATAGTGTAGTGTTGTTTGGATCACAAACCATTTTACTTAGATTTTGTAACCTGAATTTGAACCAAATGATACTTTTGTGCATGAACATTCCTATCTTCTTTTTATTTAAATAGGACCTGTGGCTGCAGTTATAGGAAGGGGGATTTTCATTAAAACCTTAAAGTACCCCCCCTATTTTTTTTTTACCTGTGAAAGCCCACCCCTTTTTCCTGAGTAAGCTACCCACCCTAGTGTTAGTGGTGCAGTGTTCAGTGTCTTTACTTAACACCAAAAGATGCAAGTTTGATTCCCATGTCCTCATGAGTCATGTACTGGGAGAATAAGATGTTGATATGAGTAGTTTCTGCTGGTCTCAAACATTGCAAATAAAAAACTCTCTGAATAGTAGATCTATGTGCTCTGTGTATTCATGTGTTCAGTGTATTGATAAAATGGCAGTCGACAATTAACCCTTGTCATTACCCACAGTAATGATGAACAGATATACATATATAATTACCAAATGTGACGTTTTCTTGTGATGTTATCTGTCTTGCACATGTTTTCTCGCTTTTTTCAATGGCATTGTAATTTTCTAGAATCTTTTCATTCCACCAATGGCGAAATTTGGCCTTTGCTATGCTGAGTCACCACGAGACCTGACTACTGCTTTAAATTTGATAATTATTGTGCTAAATGTCTATAAAACCTGCCTCAAACCAACCTGCTGCTTTCCCCACGAAAACAAGTGTGGCTTTTATTGTGTTGATTCAATATGGAGCTGACCTGTGTTCAGTGAGCACTGCTTTTACCTTTGTACTATTGTACTTACTATATAATGTTTACCAGCAATATATTGGAGGATTTTTTTGCCAGACAAATCGCTACCTTAGAATTACAAAGTTCTATCTGACATTTTTGGCCCTTTTGAGTTACTAAGACTATTATTTCAGAAACCGAATGTTCTATCTGCCCTTCAAAATCGTAAGATTGTTCTGTGTCTTTATCAAGATATATTCAAAAAATTGCATTCTCGAAACCTTGACAGGTTGTGAAAATCAAAATTTTAAGGTCAAATTTCTTAAAACTAGGTACATGTTCTGAACTGATAGAACTTTGTAATTCTAGGGTAGCGAAATGTGTCCCTGAGTCGGCAATGCCATCTGGTCTATGAAAAGGCGGCTTGAAAAAATGTAATGGAGACTTGTAAATGTTTCTGTGTCCACATAATGTACTTTGTCCTTAGTTTTTTCTAATGTAATGAAGGATAAAAAGTGTGCTGCATTTTATGTTACTATGTTATGTGTATTTTATGGTGGTGCCCTCCATATCAGTTGCATCAATAAAGCTCATTCTCCTCGCATATGATTCTGCAGTTTTCTTGTCCTTGAATAGATGTGTTTGGTGTATGGTCAGTACAAATTTCAAAAAGGGTAAGACTGACGTAGCAACACAAAACAGTTTAACATAGGTGTATAAATTTAAATTGTGTCAGTGGGGGAGTAAAGATGATTTTTCTTTTATGATAAAAAAAAAAAAGAATCACAGTTGTATGCACACCGTTGTTTTTTAAAAACATATGTTATGCCCGATGATTATTATGCAGAAAATAGAGAAATAAATAAAAACAACACATTTTTGTATGCTGTGATGGAACATTGCCTTCCATTAGACTACAACTACTACTACTACTACAACATGTACTACTATGGATTGCACTGTGTGTACGTACGATCAGAGTGGATTGCTCAATGTAGGCTCAGTTAGTGTGGTGCTAGATGGTGAAGACAATATGGGTGGTTGGCGGGTGCTCTCGTGTGGTTTGCTCCTTCCTTTCTATCAAACATCTATCGTCCTTATTTCTCCTTTTTATGTGTTTGTTACTCACTTGTAAAAACCTCTCATCTTCGGCTTTTGTATGAAGTTATTGTGTTGCAAGTGCTATAAAACTCGTACTAAAACTAAACGTCGAGGATTAGGGACAACCCTGTGATTCGATTCTCCAAAAAGCACTTTTATAGTATAACGAATTTCCTAGGCTCCTTTTTTGCCTGCACAATTTAAATGAGAAATCTTGCTTTGAAATATTTGAAGAGAAAAAGTATTTAACTTGGTGGTTGTCGGGTACTCTGGTGTGATTTGCTCCTTCTTTCCTTTCAAACATATATCTTACCTGTCCTTATTTTTTTTACACCCTTCCTCATTCTTTTCTTTTTGGTGTTAGTTTCTCTCTTTTAATTTTAACACTTCATATCTTTGACACTTATATGACCTTATTAATATTATGTTGCGAGACAGGACAAAAGGATATCTATAGAAGTAGAAATAGGACTAAGAAAGTGGCGTTGGTTGAAACACACCTTCAGAAAGTCCAGCGGAAACATCACAAGACAGTCACTGCAATGGAACCCTCATGGACACGTGGCAGGGGTAGGCCACGAGAGACATGGAGGAGATGTGTGGAAAGGGAAATGAGAGAGATGAAGCTCACTTGGAACGAGCTAGGAATAATGGCCCAGGATAGAGATAAATGGAAGGAGCTTGTATGTGGCCTATACGTACCCTGCCAGGGGTGAAAGGCATTGATGATGATGATGACATTGAGTTCATTATTGACTGCATAGAAACCCAAAATTATTTTGAAAAAGACAAAATTGATTAAGAATATATATTTTATGCAAAAAGGGCTAACTTTTTCTTTTAGAACAGGACTACTTTGATTTAAACACATACACCCACACAATCACAATCACAAACACACTCGAACACATACTTTGTGGCAAACACGCGCACGCCTTCTGGAATTCTTTTCTAGGAGTATACAATATACATAGTTACAAGAACAGATTAGTTTATGCAAATGCATGTACATGTAGGCCTATAATTTTGCTATAAAGACCAGATTAAATTATGTAGAACAGTACTGGGACTTCAGTTTGATGAAATTATAGTGAGAGGAAGTGCAAGAATGCAATTTGTAATGTATGAGTAATTGTAAGGGGAATCAACATGGTAACAATATAGGTAACAGTTTTTTCTATGTTGTCTACTTTAGGTCGTAATTATGTGTTTTTAAAATAGCATCTCAGGTTAACCTATATTTAAATATTATCATCGTCTATGGTGTCATCATGAAGAGAGAAAAAAACAAGATCTGTGAAATGTTGCAAAAAACACCTAAGTGAACGGGACATCGAGATTCCAAAGCCATGACATTCAACAGAAAAAGTGTTAAACGCTAACTAGGAGAAGAAATTAGATATTCAGAGTTCTAAATCATTAATTAAGATAATACGTTCATTTACCCAATCCAACAAGCCAAGCATGAGAACAAAAAATAGAATTTTTTCAGTCAAGAAAATTGTAACAAGCAAACATTTGATTTATGTTCAAAAGACCAAATAAATTGTTGCCTTTTTGCTTGATAAGTTACCAAATTAATATCAATTCTGGAATTTACATGCTAAAAAGTATTGTAATAATTTAATTTAGGCAACAAAAATGCCGAACCAACATAAGAACGACGCATCATTAAATTTCTTTACAGAAAATCCATAATTTAAAAAAACCAACCTGTTTACATTGACTACATAGGTTAAAGTCTCCGACTGACAATCTCATATGTCTTTTCATCTTTGGATTCACTCTTACATGAAGGGGCGAAAAAAAAACAACAACACACAAACAAGCTTAAAGAGAAGTGAATTTCTAGATCTAAGATCTTATCTAGATCTAGATCGATCAATGATTGATTTTTGATTTGATAACTGATGAAAGGGAAAGTAGACTTATGTTTAAATAATAATGTCTGAATTATTTGGAGCAAAACAGCTTCTAACCAAGGCATACTTCGACGAGGTTCCTTATGGAGAAAAAAAGGATGACAACTTTGGTACAACGACAGCAGAAGAAGCTCTAGCTGGCAAGGTAACCCCACATTACTAGGTTATTATGTCAATTAGGCCCCTGCATATTTAATTTACGAAGTGGCTAGCCGTACTTAAGTACAGCTAGACTGCCAGTCTAGCCATACTTACATCTAGGTTTGGCCCTATATCGACTCAAACCTGTTAAGTACACAGGTCTCATTAGATCTAGATCTAGTAATCTAGTAAATTATTCAGGTTCAAATACATGCATAGATGGCGTCAGAGGACAATTGTTAGATAATGTCAGAAGCTCAGTAAGAACGAAGGAAGGAAATACAGACTGGTTCAAAGTAAGATCTGGAGTACGACAGGGATGCGTTCTATCTCCCCTCATGTTTATTATGGACACAATAACGCAAGAAGCAAACCAAAGCCCAGAAAGCCTAAATGAATTTCTGTTCGCAGACGACCAATGTCTAATTCATCATGACCAACAAAGCCTCCAAAATCACACTACCAAACTCAACAACACCTGCGAAAAATTCAACATGAAAATAAGCACATCAAAAACAGAATTTATGAAAGTGAGCCAAAACCATAGTCCCCTGAACATCCATGTCAATACTAAACAACTGAAACAGATGAAAGAGTTTAAATATCTTGGCAGCACTTTTTCTGAAAACGGGTCCATAGACAGAGAAATAGAAATGCGAACTCAAAAAGCCAACGCTGTCACCTACCAGCTCGCACCCCTTCTATCTCATTCAAACATCTCCATGGACACAAAGAGACAGCTTATCACCTCAATATTCATACCAACATTATGTTATCAGTGCCAGACCTGGACCTTAAGCAAAACCCATGAAAGCAAAATCACCGCATGCGAAATGAAATGTCTCCGCAAAACCCTTAACATCACAAGACGAGACAGGCAGAGAAATGAAGAAGTAAGAGCAGTTATCGGCACTGAGTCCTGCCTGCGTTACATAGAAAGACAGAGGATAAAATGGTTTGGCCACCTGTTATGCATGTCACCTGACCAGCCAGCCTTGAGAGCCTACAACACCAAGCACTCAGGCTATAAAGGAAGAGGAAAACCACGCAAAAGGTGGATCGAGGGTGTCAGGAAAACCCTAAGAAAACATAACATCACAACTGAAAGAGCTGCGGAGCTGGCCTACCATAGAGAACTGCATCTCCCCTCGACGCTTAACGGCAACAGAGGATGAAAAAGTAAAAGTAAAGTAAAGTAAGTAAATGCATGCAAGTCAGTAAGGCACCTTTTGGTTTTGTCTGAAATGCAAATACTTTAGGCATTGCAAACTAAAAATTTCATTTACAATTCAGCCATCAATATTAAGTACGGCTAGCCTTACAGTCTAGCCGTCCTTAAGTACGGCTAGCCTGGCTGTCTACCCATACTTAAGTACGGATAGCCAAGAAGTCTAGCCGTACTTATCTTAGGCCCTATTAACATAAGAAAACAGGAGGTTTAAAATACATGCACTGTCATTAAGGCACCTGGTTTCGTCTCAAATACAAATACTTTAGGGGCTGCAAACTAAAAATTTATGTTTACAATTCAGTAGACCTATTTTTTTTTAATGGTCAGTCTTGCCATCATATTAAGAATAAGTATGGCTAGCCCAGCTGTCTAGCCGTACTTAGGTACGGCTAGTCTAGTCGTCATTAAGTACGGCTAGCCTCTTCCTTTAATTTATTTAATCATGTCTTGTATCTTGAGTCTGATTCGAATGCTAATTCAAATTGTATTGAAGTACGATGTGGCTAGCCGTACATTTGTACTTAAGTACGGCTAGCCTGAAAGTCTAGCCATACTTAGATCTAGGTTTGACCCTATCGACTCAAACCTGTTTAGTACACAGGTCTCATTAGATCTAGATCTAGTAATTATTCGTTTAAAATACAGGCAAACCACAGACAGTATGTATGCACATTTTGGTTTTGTCTGAAATACAAATACTTTAGGCATTGCAAACTAAAAATTTCACTTACAATTCAGCCATCAATAATAAGTACGGCTAGCCTGATTGTCTAGCCGTCCTTAAGTACGGCTAGCCTGCCAGTCTAGCCGTACTTATCTTAGGCCCTATTAACATTAGTATTAGAAAACAGGTCTCATTAGATAATTATTCAGGTTTAAAATACATGCACTGACTTTAAGGCACCTGGTTTCGTCTCAAATACAAGTACTTTAGGTACTGCTAACTAAAAATTTATTAACAATTCAGTAGGCCTATTTTTTTGTGTTTTTGTTTGTTTGGTCAGTCTCTCCATCATATTAAAAATAAGTATGGCTAGCCCAGCTGTCTAGCCGCACTTAATCAACCAGTCTATCTGTACTTAAGTACGGCTGGCCTAGCTGTCTAGCCGTCATTAAGTACGGCTAGCTTTTTCCATTGAAGTATTTGAAGTTATGATAAGCCAGACAAATTTCACAACATGTCTATATATCTTATTTGACAATGATTTCTGTGATGATCGAGAGTCTGTGACTATCTAAATGTTTGACACATTTCTATTAAAATTTGTAGCTTCGTATGCATGCATAGAGTCATAAAGCAGTATGTTCTGCTTCTTCACCATAGTAGAATCAGAGTGATAGAATGAAGTCTGTGAACATGTCGACAATCCTTTCCATAAATTGAAGCCTTGCCATTGCAACTCGCCAGCCTTTGCCAGATCTTCAGTTGTAACACAAAACTTTAAACAGCAGCCATGCCAGCCTTGATAGGAAATATGGTCGATGCCCCTTACAATGGATGATTTGTATTGCATAAAGCTGGGCACTTTTGCTGTGAAAAGGGTGTTAAATAATGAAAGGCACCTACAATAGTAGGATGTACTGTTCCTGGAATAGATTGATCAAGTGCTGTCAGATTACTTTTTAATTAAATGATAATGAGAACAATCCGTATTTGAAAGGACTTTATGATCAGTTTGTCCAGTAGTTTTTTAGTTTTAGTAAGTGTTTTACGGCACTTGCGACACAATAAGGTCATGTAAGTGCCAAAGATTAGCGGTGTTACAAGAGAGTAACAAACGCAAAAAAGAAGGAGGGGAGATAAGGATGTTTGATAAGAAAGAAGGAGCTAAACCACACCAGAGCACCCGCCAACCACCCACTCCAGTAGTGTGTGTATACAAACTTGATAGCTACCTGTCCAAGACAATCATCTTACGAACAACCACTTCCCACTTTCTCCCACGTCTTTTTTAAAATAATGGTGCTGCCAAAGGTGACAACCGTTGTCAAAAGCAGTCGAAACAGCTAAATTTTATCAATGGACAGTCCCAAAATTTTGTTCTCCATCTCTCATTGCCAGACGCGTTGCCATAAATTATATATCGGCACTACCACTGTGAGCCGAGTCATCATAATTCATTCACCTGTCTTTATTGTTACCCCCTCTTTCTAATGATCCTCCCACAGGCCAGAATGTTGTGGAAAGGAGGGGGGGGGGAGGGGGGTGGTATGAGGGGGGGGGGGAGGTTACTGGTTCTTCCCTCTGTTTACCTATGCTGAAGTTTGTTTTACAAATTGTGCCATGACACGGTGGAATCAAACGCTCGTTCACTTTTGGGCATATATGGAAATATTGGTATAATCTTAATCTTAGAATAAGCAGTAATTATATATTTCTCTTTGCTTTCCATGAAAAAAATAACTACCTATGTTGAATACAAGAAGAGATATATTTGCAATTGAAGGAGGTGGGGGTTGCCTTGTTTCAGCAGTAAAATTATTAGTGAGAAAATGGCTGCTAAAGTTTATTGACTTCTAAAGCTTGAGAGTCCCTGGAAATTTCTAATTTACAATTTTTGTGCCTCTAAGCAATGTTTAGCTCTAGCGGTAAAATCCACACAGAAATGTGTTTTAATTGGTACATTTAAAAAATGAGCGAAAAAACAAACATTTTGTAAAAATTGCCATACAGGCTAAAAAATGCAGATTTCTTCAATTTTATTATTTTGACAAGTGCCTGATTTCACCATGATGACTCACAATTTTCAGCTGCAGATGAGGGAGGCGTGTTAACTATAATAATTCATTAGCCCCTCCCACAAATGAACCACCCACTGACCTTACAGTAATCATAATATCGAGGGGAGATTTATAGTGGCCATTCTGTTTTTCTAGTTGTTAACAATGGACATCAACTGAACTTGTGACAGAAATGTTCTTATTCCCCTAGTGGTGGTGGCCTTTTTTTAGTTTTATCCCTTGCCTTTTAAAATTTTACTTCTTCACCCCCTCCACCACCCCATTTCCCTGGCATTTTTTTCAACCACTCAAACACCAACAGACCTGCATCGATGGAAACATATTGAGATATATAGCCTACATAGCTGACAAATGCTGAAACACTTATGAAGAGACAAACATAGACAAACACACACGGTTTGACACACAGCGATGGAAATACATAGATAGACAGAAAGAAAAAAAAACACACACAGAATCATATATGCACACAAACACACACACACACACACACAAGCGCGCATGCACGCACACACACACACACACGCACGCACACATGCACCAGCAGACACAGATCGACCGAGACAGGCACTGCTATGTAGACACACACGGACACACTCACACATACACACACACATATTATACACATATTATACACATATTATACACATACACAAACAACCCCAAAACTCACTTTTCTCCTTCACATTAGATGGTCGTTTTTGATCATTTTGACTCTATTTTTACCTCCTTGGGTCTGAGAGGTGATTGCGAGCAGCGTCACAGACCGATGATATAGTGAGCCAAAATGTTTGTAATAAAATCATTAGGGCTTGTGTAAAGGGCCAATTAACAAAAGGAATAAAATTTAGGTCTGGTGGAATATTTATGTTTCATTCTGTATTTTTACAGGTTGTTTGTTTGTTCTTTTCTGCTTTGTGGTGTGCACCTTGTCAGCATTTTATCCATATGCTTCGAGATGTCTTCGCAGAACTACGCCGCCGCAAAGAGCCAATAGAAATTGTGTTCATTAGCTTTGACAAGACGGAGAAAGACATGCTGGAATACTACAAGAATAGCCATGGAGAATGGCTGGCCCTTCAGTTTGGAGACAATTTTAAGGAGTAAGAACCAATGCCAATGTTTTATTTTTTGCTCAGTTTGTTGAAATGTGTTTAGCAAATTTTGATTGACTGTAAATGTTTTAGTCTGCATGATTTTTTAAAAACCTTTTCAAAATGTGCAGGGCTAGAGTGTCTCTTTTGCTCCAACTTTGACAACAAAACAAATGAACAATTTGTTTAAAATCAGACTCTTTCAATTACATAATGACAAAAACCCCCCAAATTTTACTACTAAATATAAAATATTTCAAAATCCACAACTGACGAAATTATAATTAAAGTGGTTTTGGACAGTACCCTATTCATTGTGTTTATTTTATAGTATCATAAATATGGTTGTTAACAATGGACATCAACATGTGTTACTGGAATATATGGATATCAAATCAATTAAAGACACTTAAAGACGGTTGAGATAAAATGGAAAACTAGGTACTAGTACCTATTCAATTCTAGAAAAGATTCCAATTAAAATTTTGATATTCTTTGGGAAGATTAGAGACTACTCCTATCACTACTTGTCATCGCAGACAGTTACTTAATTGGCCTTTTCAAACTTCCCTAGGTTTTAATCACATGAATAAAATTCATACAGTGTTTCACATTAATTAATTTAAAACGTTAATTATTTTCTATGTAATGATATAACTGATAAAACATTAATGTTTGTCCAACTTGTTCTCGTAAAATAAGTAATTTATGTTTCAACATTGTTATGTTTCAGACTTCTTGCTGAAAAGTATTCCATAAGTGTTATTCCAAAGCTTGTGGTGATTCAGCCAAATGGAAATGTGATCTCAAGCAAAGGGAGAAAGGAAGTTCAGGACAAAGGAATTGTTTGCATGCGAGGCTGGCACTCAACTTTGTTACGTCCCGTGGAGCCCAAAGAAGAGCAAAATGGGGACGATGCCGCAATTTCTTGATCAGTTTGGGTCACCGATTATTTTGGTAGCCCTATTGAGAACAGTGAACTTTCAACCAAAAATAGAATTAATGCAAGTGTGCATATTTTAAAATTTAGACTCGAATCTGAACCATGTGTCCTTAGTGTTCAGAGCTGACCACACTAACACTTCACTGAAGACATCCCTAATCTCCAAGCAAACCCCTTTATCATGATAAATCACAATTTGTATAGTACAATACACTCAGAGAAAACAATTATAAATGTGTAGATCTAAGTCTGATTGTCTTGCTTTTTAAAGGTTCTTAGAATAACCATGTTGCGTAACTGTCTATCATCTGTGTGATCTCTGTCTCTATCGATCTGTCTATCTATGTGTAAAACCCTATACTATACTATCTATCTATCTATCTATCTATCTATCTATCTATCTATCTATCTATCTATCTAACTATCTATCTACCCATCTACCTATCTATCGATCTATTGATCTATTGATCTGTTGAACCATTTTGTGTGTCTTTCCTTCTGAGTGTTTTTAATGTTATGTAGGGATCCCTTGTTGGTCCCAAATCGATTTTTGTATAGTACAATACACTCAAAGAAAACAATTATGTGTATCTAAGTCTGGTTATCTTGCTTTTTAAGGGATTTTAGAACAACCATGTTGCGTAACTGTGTGATGAGCGACCGTTGTATAAAAACAAACTGAAAGTGATTAATAAAGCTACTATGATCCAATTAAATGAATTATGAAATATTCTATCCATCTGTCTGTCTATCTGCCTGTCTATCTGTTTGTCTCTGTCTATCATCTGTGTGATCTGTCTCTATCGATCTGTGTATCTCTATCTATCTATCTATCTATCTATCTATCTATCTATCTATCTATTGATCTATTGAACCATTTTGTGTGTCTTTTCATCTGAGTGTTTTTAATGTAGGGATCCCTTGTTGGTCCCAAATCGACAAGAGTAGGCTTCGGCCGCCACCCGGGCAAAATTAAAAATTTCCGCCGTGTTTAATGAATGTGTTCCGTGCGCTCATATGACTTTATGCAGTTGTGAGCGCCGTAAAACACTTACCGTACCTAAAAATAAAAAAAATCTAGTATTATTATAATATATTTTGAACCTTTCTCAAAAGGTGAGCATGGCTGGAAACTAGCCTTTTAATTCCCTCCATCCATTACAATAGTTCTTTTTCTATTACTTACTTTACTTTACTTTTTTTTTTTCTTCCGCTTGTACCCTGGGGTGTCGCGGGGAGACACAGGTGTCTGTCTGCAGCAAGTCGTGTGGCCTGTAGGAGGGACATCTCATGATCTTTAAGGGTTTCTGCCACAGATTCACTCCATCGTCGCCTTGGTCTTCCTCTGGCTCTTCATCCAGAATATTTAATGTTGTATGCTCTCAGAGCTGGATGATTTGAGGGCATCCGCGTGAGGTGTCCGAACCACTTGACCTGTTGTTTTTCAATGTGTGGTAGGACTGGTGTTGCTCCCACGGTGTCCCTTATGACTTCATTTTTAATTTTGTCTCTTCTTGTTTTGTTGACCGCTCTTCTTAAGCATTTCATCTCGCATGTGACCAGTTTCCTGTCTAGGGCTTTTGTTAGAGTCCATGTCTGGCACTGATATGTGAGCGTTGGAAGGAAAATGGCGTTGATGAACTTCGCCTTGGTGCTCATGGGGATATTGGGATGTTTCAGGAGAGGGCCCAGTTGGTAGCTGACTGCGTTGGCTCTCTGGCATCTAGTCTCTATCTCTCGATCTAATTTTCCATTTTCTGTGAAAATGCTGCCCAAGTATTTGAATTCTCTGCTTTGTTTTAGTTGGGATCCATTGATGTTGATATCCACTTTACCTGGTCTCCTGCTAATTGTCATGACTTCGGTCTTGCTTATACTGATCTTCATGTCATATTTTTCGCAGCTCGCATTTAGTTGGTTTATATGCTCCTGTAGCTGAGTCTTGTTGTTAATCATTGCCAGGTCATCTGCAAACATGAGTTCGTTGAGTGCCTCTGGGTCTGGATTGGCCTCTTTTGTTATCTGGTCCATGTAGATCACGAAGAGCAGAGGGGAGAGATTGCAGCCCTGTCTCACTCCGGATGTTACTGGAAACCAGTCCGATGTTCCACTGGTAGTTCGGACAGCGCTTCTGCTGTTGGCATAGATAGCCCTAGATGTTAAAGTCTAGTTGTCCCTTGATGTCGTACTGCTCTAAGATCTTCCATAGCTTGTTTCTATTTACTCGATCAAAGGCTTTTTCTTGATCCACAAATACGAGGTGGAGATCTTTGTCGTATTCCAAAGCCCTCTCACACAGTTGTCGGAGTGCGAAGATTGCATCAGTGCACCCTCTTCCTTTTCTAAAGCCAAATTGGGCGTCACTGAGAAGATGTTCGGTTTTTGCGCGAGTACGTCGCTCTAGGATTTTTGCATACATTTTCCCCACATGGCTGAGAAGAGATATGCCTCTATAGATGTTGCAGTCTTTCTTGCTGCCCTTTTTCTTGCATATTGGCACCACTATTGCATTTTGCCAGTCTGCTGGCACTTTTCTTTCTTTCCATGCTTTTTGGGAGATGATTGTAAGCCAATGTATTCCGGTTTCGCCGCATGCAAGGATGGCTTCGGTTGTGATGCCATCGTCTCCAGCTGCCTTGTTCTTTGGACTAGTTTTCAGTGCTTCTCTCACTTCACTCTCCAGGATGGTAGGTTCTGAGTGCTCAGGGTAGTTGGCGGTGAATGGGCACTGTGTGTTTTGTGCCTGTACTCCTGATGGGTTTAGTAGTTCTTGAAAATATTCTTCCCATCTTTTTATTATTTCTTTCTCTTCGTGCAGAGCTTCTCCATTAGTATCGTTGATGACAGTCGTGGGTACATAGGGTTCGTCTCTCGTTCTCATTGTCTTGACCTTCTCGTAGAACTCTCTTGGTGAGGTCTTGCAGGTTTCACTTAGTTTTTCGCCATACTGGGTCCATGACTTTTCTTTTGATGTTATAACGACTTTCTTACTGTGTCTTCTTGCAAGTCTATATTTAATGTAGTCCTCTTCGTTTTTTGACTTGACCCATATATTATACAGTCTCTTTTTTTCCTTGATAGCATCTTTAACCTCTTCGTTCCACCAGGCTGATGCTTTTCTGTGTTTTCCTCTTGTTTTCTTGGAACCACAGACTTCTTTCATTGTGTCCAGGAGAGTTGTTTTGAAGGTATCCCAAGCTTCCTCTACGGTTAGTATTGTAGAGTTGATAGAGCCTAGTTTTTCATTTAACGTGCTTCTGATCTGAGCCTGCACCTGATCATCTCCAAGTTTATGCATATTTAGTCTCTCTTGCTGTCTTTTATGTTTTTTTGGTTTTCTTTCTTTCTTGGTGGTCAACGTTGTGATGATTGGCGTGTGGTCTGTGTCCAGGCCTGCATTGGGGATGGCTCTTGAGTCTGTGATTGTGATCCGCATTCGTGTTATCGTTAATATGAAGTCGATCTGTGATGAGACCATGATGTTGTTCCATCTGTACCAGGTGTAGATCTGAGAGGCTCTGTGCTGGAAGAGGGTGTTGGTGATGAATAAGTCGTGCTCTGCACACAGTTTCAGTACATGGTTGCCGTTATAATTGCATGGTGTTCTGTGGTCACTGTGTGGACCCAGGTGTTTTGTCCACGGTGTTCTTCTCTCTCCGACTCTTCCGTTGAAGTCTCCCATTACATAAAGGTCTTTCTCGTCTGGGATGTTGCTAATTAAGTCCGAGAGTTGTTCGAAGAAAGAGTCCTTTTCTTCGTCTGAGTAGGAGTCATTACACGGTGCATACACCTGGATGTAGTTTGTGGTCTTTTTGCCCTCTCTAATGCTGATTTTGATGAGTCTTTCAGAAATGAAGTCCGTATTCAATATTTCCTTTGCTTTGTCAGGGTGTACGATGAAACCCACACCGTGTTCAGCTCTTTGTTCTTTTCTTACCCCACTCCAAATGAGGACAAAGTTAGAGTGGATATCTTTTGTGCCTGTCCCTTTTTTCCTGATGTCTGTAATGCCCATGATGGAGATCTTGTTCTGGGTCATGAACTCCACTATCTCAGGTTCTTTATTTGTCAAGCTGCAAATGTTCCAGGTCCCTATTTTTTCATTTTTTCTTGATCGTTGTCCATTTTTCTCGCCAGGTCGTTTTCCATTTTGATCAGTCCGTTTGTGTCTCCTTATGTTTTCTTGAGCAATGTTTATATCCACTGCCGGCCTGCTAAGCCAGTCGCAGTTTCACCAGAGCCCCGTTGGCCAGCAACGTTTCGGGGTGACCCGGGTCGGCCTTCACGGCTAGCGTAACGCCTCAGTGACATAAAGTCACACCGTACTTCACCCAGACCCAGCTATCCCCTACTTTGTCCTGTTTCCATCTCCCACGGCGTGGACGAGGGGTTGGACTTCGAGAGTAAGTAAAGTAAGTTGTTTAATACGGTACGAAATTCCTACACGAATGGATTTCAAATCCCGATTTTTTGCCTCTATATTCTATGCATTTCACTTCACTCAACAACACGCCTAGAATTAAAATTCCAGCAGATCTTGTTAACACGAAGGAATTTAGAAGCGTTTAAAGATTTCTCCAGGATTGTTCTCCCCCTTTCCTCCTTTTTTTTCACTAAGTGCCCTGCTTTCAAAATTGCATTTATTTAGAAGTACATGTATTCTTTTTGTGAAATTTGATAGAAAGGGTTCAAAGTTCAATATCTTGAAACGTGACTCTAGATCAGCACAATAGCACAAACTATATTAAATGCGTCATCTACTTTTCTTTCACAAGGATAGTCTGACAACTGCCGAGAAGTTGAGAACAATACAAGACATCTTTCATCAACCCCATTAGGTTCATTTTTACCAAACATCGACCGGTCCACAGGTTCTCCACTTGGCCACACATAGTGATTTCTTTTGACATGATCCGTGGCACCCATCCAGATGACCTGGGCTGAAACAGAAGTGAGAAAAACTGAAATGAAGTAGAGAAAAAGAAACCGCTATTATTCTATTATTTTCATAGTATCGATTTTTATAAAAGACATAACACGGAATAATTTGTGCTGAGACTTATTTATAAAACTGACAAGGGCTTGTTTAGTGTATAACCGAGGATGGATTGTCTAGCTTACAACTATACAGGAGATCTACACGTATACGACCGTTGGTAAATCGCAATACCGTAATATGTGAGATAGGTGTGATATACTTTATTACGAGGGGGGGGGGGGGGGGGTTCAAGAAGTCTTTAGTCTAAATATGAAGGAATTAAGGTAGAGCTTTGAAACTTGGCACACATACTTTTATTTCTTTACATAGCCACCATGCAGAGTAACACATTTCTGCCACCTCCCTTTGACCTTCAACAGTCCTTGAGAGAAAAATGACCCAGAGTGGGTCCCTAACCAGTCTTTAAAAGCTTCAATGGCGCCCTCGTTGTCATGGAAACGACATTCTTTGAGCGATTTTTTAAGATTACGAAACAGAAAAAAGTCAGAGGGGCTAGGTCTGGTGAATAAGCTGGGTGAGGCAAGATTTCAAAGCCGCACTGTTCTGCTGTCTGAACTGCTTGTTTTTGCCCTGTGTGCAGGGACTTTGTCATGCAGTAGGAGGACCCCATTACTGAGTTTTCCATGTCTTTTCTCACCAATTCAGACCGCAATTGTATCAGCAAACTCAAGTAGTAGTCTCCCGTGACTGTGTTTCTATTTTCCAGGTAGTCAGTCACGATGATACCTTCACAATTCCAGAAACAAGACAGCATGGCCTTTCCACTTAATGACGGTGTTACCTTTGCCTTCTTTGGTGAGGGAGAAGAAGGGGTTTTCCATTTCATGGAGGGCATTTTGTGTTCTGGATCAAAATGAAAAATCCAATTTCATCCTTAGATAGTCATCATGTTTTTTAAAGAAATTTGTGTCCTTGGACTCATTTCGAAGGAGAGTTTTGCAGGACTCAACCCTCTGCTTCTTTTGCTCACTTGTCAAAAGGCGGGGTACCCTCCTCGCTGACACCTTATATTCATGTTAAGATGGCCAGGGAGAATCGTTTCAATTGACCCTACACTGATTGTCCTTTCACTTGAGAACTGTTTATCAGTTATACGTCAGCCTCGTAGAACCAGTTTCTTCACTACGGATACATTATCTTCAGTTACCACAAAGGATGGGCACCCTTCACGATCTTCATCCATCACCGACATGAATTCAGATTTGAATTTTCTCACCTTGTATGTCTCAGTATTATAACGAGGACATTTGTTAACATAAACCTGGACCATTTCCTGAAAAATGTCCAAAGGGGATCCTTGCAAGAGTAAAAACTTCATAACTGAGCGATATAATTCGACAGGCTCCATGGTACAGCTTCAGCAAAGAAAAACAATTTTTTGGTGCATGATGTCATTGAACACGCTGACTAGTGTCTTATCATTGTCAGATTTTCTCGAAAATTTGCATGGTGCGTTCCAAAGAAATTGCCTAAGGGGTCGCAAAATTTCATTTCTCTACCATGATTCCTTCATACCCAGACCAAAGACTTATTGAACCCCCCTCTTAGTCCTCCCAAAGATGAAATCGACCACATACTACTGCTATAATTATAAAATATTTGCACATAACATTATAATAATATTCTCAAGACTCACCACAATCCCCCCCCCCTTCTCTCCCTCTCTCTTCTGTCTTCTTCCTTCGCCTCACCCCCCCCCCCCTTCTCTCTCTCTCTCTCTCTCTCTCTCTCTCTCTCTCTCTCTCTCTCTCTCTCTCTCTCTCTCTCTCTCTCTCCCTCCTTCCATCCCTCCCTCTCTCTGTCGTTCTTTTTCTTCTGTATCACTCTTTTAGCTCCCCCTCCCGCTATATATATAGTTATATATATATATATATATAACTATAGTAGGCTACATGTAACTGTAAGAACAAACACATGTCATAAACATGAAATGAAACGCGGAAACGAAATAAGTGGATACAACTGGGGAAAAAAGTTGATTATACTTGATGTTACTTACTAATACTTAATTACTCTCTCCCTATACGGTCAGGCACATAAAGCGGAGAGCAATCGACGCCACGCTTGCCTGTTCCTGGCCACCTTTTCCAGTCTCGGCACATCCAGGCCCGGGGCGATTGCCTCATCCCTTTTTATGCCTCTATAACTTCCAGTTAAAATTGGTTTTCCTTGTTTACTTTCTTTTCCCAGTTGGTCTCCAATACCATGTCTGAATAGGGCAATCTTGTCTTCGGCATTTTTAGAACATGTCCTAAATATCACCACCGTCTCCTTTTTATGGTCGTGTTGATGTCTTCAAGTTCAGCTTTCCAAAACTTCATTATTTGTAATACATTAATTCCATTTTATTAGCAAAAATTATTCGCGAACATTTTATTTAGAAGCTTTTTAATTTTCGTTGAATTGTTTTGTTTGTTTTCCACATCTCTGAACCATACGTCAATACGGCCAAACCATAGCTGTTATATAATTTTAAATTTCGCCTTCAATGAAACGATCTTTGACTTCCAATTAATACATGGTTTTTAATTTCGCAAAAGCCATCCATGCATTTTTAATGGTAGGTGGCAGTTAATATTTCTAACTTTGTTATTAACACATACCAGCGTAATTCAGAGTGATCATAAAACACCCCAGGAGTTAAAAATGAAATTCAAATCGCAAAATATAATCTTTCTTTTAGGTATTTGAAAATATTTCATTTTCATGTTTTGGGGGTACAGAAGCAATTTTGACTCAATCCGGCCCGCTCTCTCGCTCAATCAGTTTATTTACTAAAGTACTTATATTTTTACATAAGCACGTTAACAATAAAATCTGTGATCCTAAATGGGCTTGTTTTGATACTTGAAACCTCTAAAGAAATATTGAGGATAACGTCATAGCTATTGCTTGACTCTATTAATTTTCGCATTTTCACATCAACTGAAGCACTCGAAACAGCATTTTTCAAAATGGGATATATAATATATATATATATATATATATATATATATGAAAAAAACCCATTTAGGATTACAGAAAATTCATTTTTACATAGTCAGGCCAAATATAAAAGAATCCTCCACTTGAGTTTTAAATAAGAGTCCGGGCCGCAACCCATACCCCTTAATTTTTGTCGTTTTGAGAAAACTTGAAAAAACGTAAAGATTTTGTCATAATTTTCCAACCGAAACAGATAGGAGCATGAATTGAATTGTATAAAGACAATTAATAATTTCTCAATGTACCCAATTCTTTTATATCTAATTTTAAGAAAAATGTCACCCCCAAAAAACCCAGTAGGTAGGCATGCAACAGAGAGGTCAATTTAGTGGTAGTATTAACTGAAAAGAAGAAATATAGGGAAATTTGTCAAAAATATGCAACTCCAAGTTGCTAAAAGAGGAAAACACAGCCATAAATTGCAGATGGACTTCTTTATTCCAAATCAGTCCCTCTTCCTGGGCAGTAGAGGCGTCTGCCAGTCTAAAAAAATGGTTCCTTTCCTGTTTTTCTAAGCTACACCCTCTATGGCAGTCTCTGCCCTCAATATTTAGGCACAGTCCCTTCTGATGCCACTGTCCATGGTTTGGGCTGAGACATGCAATTTTAGAAACGGCATAAACGTCTGGGTGCCAAGGGCCCCCAAATTCCAGTCTGCAGTAGTGATAGCAAAAGCTGCTTCCACTCTCGGTTTGATCACAAAGACCGTCTTAGGGCACTTCAACCAGGTGTGAACATATGGAAACTCCCATTCTGTTTTTGTGTCACGCCAGGCACATACTTGATCTCCATTAGCTCATCTGTGATGCACAGGCTTCTTAAATGAGGGGGTTTGAGGTGGGCAGAAAGCCTTCCCTTGTGTGATGGTGATATGCTTCTTTGGCTGTAATGCCTTTTGTAAAAGCACAGTATAACACAGATAACTCGAATTCATTGGAACTGGCCTCGGTAGTTCGAGGCATCCGTAGTTCTAATGGAACAGTTTTACATTCATTTCTCTTGACAAACGTTCAGAGCTAATTTCCTTCTTCGCAGATTCTTCTTTCACCAGTGGCGGTGGGTGGACCAAGATTTGTGAGGGGGTTAGGTTTCTGCCTCTTCTTTACCACCAAAAAGCAAGCAATATGAACAAAATAGTGATGATTTTTCTATACTCACGGCGAGCCACGGCATTTTGAGAACCATTCAAACGAGAAGAGTCACCTTTGTCTTCCATCTCTATGTTCTTAGTTAAATTTAAGCTCTTCTGGATTGGGGGGACGAAGCCGTTTCACCTCCAAATTTCTCTACTTAGTTTTTATATGAAGAGATAGTTGCCTCAAAAGTGGTTTGATGTAATTAATAACTGTTAAATCCCAGCGGCACAAACACACAGCACTCCAAACACATACCGTCTATGAGGTGGATTGGGTCGTGTAGCGGAAAATAGAACGCACCTAACAAAGGCCTTATGGGTGCATAGACTCGTATCTGTGTCACTGGGGGAAAGTGTGTCGTAAACTTTCACCCCATTGTCAGAGCTGGGAGAGCGTGAGCCCTCTGTGCAGTGTTATTTTAAAAAAAATCTTCTACCTTTTTACAAGAAGAGTTTCATTAAAGACGGGCGTGGGAACCGGCTTATTCTTTCTGAGCCCTAACGACATTTGATTGGTTGTTAGGTTACTATTTTATATATTGTTGTAAGCGGTGACAACAATAATTGGATAAACGGGCAAGCCACCAAGCTGATAACTGTGTGCTCATTGTGTGCGATCATAACGGTTTCAACTGCTTATTTCGTTATTTAAGAAACTTTCATTAACTAAGGGATAGAGTTCTGGTGGGGAGGGTTGAGGGTGAGGGGCTCAAGCCCGTAAGCCCTTCACTACCCACCGCCACTGTCTTTCACACTGCTCCAGTTTTGTAGTTTTAGAATGTCTCTTTTTGTCTGTTGTTACGGTCCTGGCAGAATTTCGATCATCCACACATTTTGTGACGTAAGCCTGGGCATCGTTTGACTCCTATAGTGTGGTAAAAAAATTCGTGGCGCAACTTATCCTCAAATATCTCTTTTACGGATGAATCACTGTCACCCATACTTTGCTCATCAGTTTGTATCAATTTGTCTTAACTTAATCGCATTTTTTCCACAACAACTGAGGCTAGGATAAAAAACGTTTCTTCATATGTATATAAAATACTATAAATCTCCATCACGCAGAAAATGGGATTGTTCACAGCACTTCCCGCTTCTTACACACGACATGTGTACGCATATATGGGTTACGTCACAGCTCACCAATGACACTTTTTAGTGGCAAAAATTCTTATAAGAAATTAATTTTATAATGAACACATTTTGCACTAAAACTATAAGTTCCCTTAGCATACGTTCAATAAGCATAATGTTGCGATTAGAAACAAATGACACACTTACTTTTAAACGCGATAATGCCCTAAACCTGTAGAAATCAAATACTGGGATTTTTTATTAGTATAATTTGAAATTTTCTGGAAAACAGTGTGCAGGGGTTTGAAAAAATATTCACCTGTTAAGACAAATTGATATAAGTCGTTGTGCAAAAGTTGGAGAATCTACGTTCAAGAGTTATCCCTATCCGTACGCCCTGGGGTCATTTTGTACCCCCGGGGTAGTATTCTTCACATTTTAGAATACAACTAGTTCGACAATAAGTTGCGCCATGCATTTTTGTCCGCCCTTTAACTTTAATTAAAGTGTGCACGCCTTCGCCGTTCCAGATGTGGACTTATACTTACTTTACTTTACTTTTTCATCCTCTGTTGCCATTAAGCGTCGAGGGGAGATGCAGTTTTCTATGGTAGGCCTGCTCCGAGGCTCTTTCAGTTGTGATATTATGTTTTCTCAGGGTTTCCTCGACACCCTCTATCAACCTTGTGCGTTCCTCTTCCTAAGTGCTTGGTGTTATAGCTCCGGGGAGTACTCAGTACACTACAGTATAGTGCCGACTCGCTCGCCGCGGGGACCGGCGTGGCGCCGGCCGAGACAACGCTCGGTGTTTTTTATTGAAATAACGACAGATCATCGTGTTTGAGGAAATAAAAAACTGATTTGTAATGATCTCACAGTCTTGAAAAAAATTACTCTTCATTTCTTTGTTATACTGATTGTACTCTGTGTAGAGATGTTTGGTGCACTTGGTACTCTTTTATAATCTGTCAATTATGGGGTTGCAGCCAGTTAGCGATTTCAGCAATATTTGATTATTACGTTAAATTGAAACAGCTGCCATTCTCTAAACATTGACTGAGAGGTAACAGTATGGTACCAAAATTCTCAGGAGACATAGGCCTTTTATAAGAAACAGATGAATTTGACATACAGCTACATTGAAAATTTAGTATCTGGTACCTAGTATAATGCTAATATTTTGTTGCATTTGAGGTGGATTCCATTCAAGTGAAAATTGTGTTTTGTCCATAAGTTTTTTCTCTGTAAATGAATAGTTTTCTACTTCTGTACGTTACCTTGTTGTGGCATAGCCAAGATAACTGCTAAAGTTCAAGTCTCTATCTCAATTCTAAGACCCCTGTTGCTATGGAAACATGTTGCCCCACTTCGGAGGCCATTTTCTCCTTTTCGTGTTTTCTCACCTCGCACAATTAAAAATTCTCTATGTTCGTCAAATATAGTCATATTTACTTCATTCTTGTTTTGAATTGTGAGGGAAAGGTGATAGTTTAAAAAAATAATGTTAACTCAGTTTTGAAATTTCCTTCATATGGCTGATATTGACCGGCAGGGACATAATAGGCTTTCTGGGCTTTGGTTTGCGTCTTGTGCTATTGTGTCCATATTATTACATTTTAATAAACAGGAGGGGAGATAGAACGAATCCCTGTCGTACTCCAGATCTTACTTTGAACTAGTCTGTATTGCCTTTCTTCGTTCTTACTGAGCTTCTGCTGTTGGTATATAGAGAGAGCTCTGGCATTATTTAATATTTGTCTTCTGACGCCATACGTTGCGAGTGTCTTCCAGAGTATTGCATGGTTTACTCTGTCAAAAGCCTTCTCCTGGTCTATAAAGACAATGTTGGATTTTTCGTGGTGTTCGATTGTTTTCTCGCATCTGTCTTAATTCGAATACGGCATCCGTGCATCCTCTTCCCTTTTGTAATCCAAACTGAGCTTTGCTCAGATTTTTCTCTACAATAGGTCTTATCCGCTGTTCTAGTATCTTTGCGTACATTTTCCCTGCGTGGCTTAATAACTCTGTATGTTGTGCAGTCCTGTTTGTAGCCTTTCTTTTTCCATAATGGGGCCACTATGGCTTTCTGCCAGTCATCTGGGCATTTCCTTTGCTCCCAGGCTCTTTTGAAAATTCGCCATGGACTTATAAACACCCCCCCCCCCCGGCTCTCTTGTTGATGCAACTATAATGAGTAGGGAGCATTCGACTTCACTGCTACTGCCTCATTTAGCCATATCAATGCCGACGGGGGGGGGGGGGGGGGGGGGGGGGGTGGTCTTACAGTTCGTGATCAGATTCTTCGACAAGTAACCTATTTTTGAGCGGGGGACGAATTCAGGATTCCTCACTAGTTTAATCTAATCCCTTTTCAAGTAGGACGGTTTGTGGTGACTCACCGGGGTATGCGATGCGGCCTAAAACCGCTAAATGCTTCAACGTCTCTGCCTCGGGCAGTTGTCCACCCATTTTCTGGCACACAGTCTGGGCCTCTGTCATCAGTTCTGTTTTTTTGTAAGTGTTGTGAAGACAGTATAAACGACCAAATGCTGTCAGTTCTGCGTGACACACCGGACCTGCCTGGAGGTGGGGAGATTGATTATATAATAAATGTATCACATACTAAAAGCATCAACCAAACCATAAACAGACGTAGTTAAAATAGGTGGGTTTCAAATTGGGAAGAAACGCCCACAAACGTAAAACCACTGATGCAAGAGTTATACCGTAATCAATTTGAGCATCGACCGTTGACCAGTATACAAGTAACATTCAGAGAATTAGATAAATCACCAGAGCAAACAACCACATAAATTTTCACACAAGTGGACACAAACGCAAAAGTAGACTAGAAGACGAAATCTACACGACTGATATGAATGTAACTCCAGAAGCAACATTCCAGGATGAATCATATTACTACAAAATGTGAATATACCGGTAGCAAAACTTGAAGACGACTTCATAAAATATTGACTAACAACTAACAAGGCGACACCACGAATGGGTGGTGAAAAGTGTTGGAAGAAACACGGAGAACAACTCAGTGAAATCTGTCAAAAGTTGCAGTAGAACTTGAAGATGAATGTCGGGGTCTTGAGACGGTCAGATGAACCATCTGACCCAATGACAGTTATAGAATATGGCAGGAGCAGGAATATAAAATGAAGGCAAAAATCAAGGTATGCTTTAGTGAACTTTGACGCAATACTAACCAAAGAAAAGAACGATATAAATTCTAAGTTTGCCACAGAGCAGAGGAAAGTCAACAATCTTCTGATCTGAAGTACAGTGGGCAGCCAAAACTAGCCTAGAGAACAAAAAGGCGTAAACTGGTGAATTGTATGTGAAGCCATCTGAGTACCAGTATATGAAGAAAAGTGATCATTAGATTTAGATTTATAAGGATCTTCCAAAAGGCTTGGAAAGAATGATTTCTAACGGGTTCTGCAAATAACTGAAGCGCTTATCTGAAAGAAGAGAGACAGATGGGGAAATTGTAGAACGCAGGTTGCCGTATTGAGTCACATGGACAAAATGTATGCTAAATATTGGAATTTCGATTTAGTTAGAAGGCAACCATCAAAGACACACAGGAGATATTAAGGAAAGAAAAGGTGTGCTTCACTCAATCTTTTAGTTTTAAAAGGTGTTTAAATGAAAAGACAACTGCAAATATTATAAAACAAGGACCTGACCTTTGTCCTCGTAGATCAAGAAGAGACCTCCGACTTAGTTAACAGAGTTACTTTTTATGAAAATGTTAGACAAAATCCGTGACATCTACACCAAAAGTATGGATACAACGACTGTTTGCTGATGATCAGACTCTTGTTTGCAATAACGAAGACACATTCCAATAAAATCACATCACTACTTTAAATACTGCTTGCAAACATTTTATATATCAGCACTAGTAAAACAAAGACGATAACTGTTAGCAGAACATTGTTAGTGAAACTAATTATTAACATCCAGAATACAAATTTCGAACACGTTCAGGAATTTAAAATTAGGTTCTATCTAAGGAACTATCCTCACGAAAGGCGGAAAATGGACAGATGTGTAGAAACCAGAATACAAAATAGTAGCTATGTCATTTTGTTTTATGTTTTTGTAAAATGTTTTACGGCGCTCTCAACTGCATAAGGTCACATGAGCGCGCGGGACACACCTAATATTTTCAGTTGGTAGGAAATTTTGAATTTTGCCCGGGTGGCGGCCGAAGCCTACTCTTAACGATTTTAGACCACCAAGGGATCTTTAACGTGCGCAACTTGCACACGGGCCCTCCGAGATTTTTCGCCCTTGTCCGAGAAGGCTAGGTGTAGATCTTTCTTACCAGAAGATCAGGGGTGTGGCAGAAAGACAGCAGTAAGGAGGAGCCTAGGAGTAGCAGTAGAAAGGCTGCAGAAAGAGTCAGGAGCCCAGAGGAGGGAGCAAAGGAGGTGAGGGGGTGGGGGCAGAAAGTAGAAATGAAAGCAGACAACAGAACATTGCTAGAGAGCAGGAAAGGAGGTGAAAGGAGACAATTTTAGAGAAGAAATTTTTCGGTCGCTACCCGGATTCGAACCCGGGACCTTTTAGATGAGAGGCCAACACCTTAACCTCTAGGCCACGAGAGCCCCCGTAGCTATATCAGTAACAAGCTTGCTCCTTTCCTGAAACATCTTAAGGCCATCTGCGGGTACAATTTTTCCCATGTTTCCCCTGTCTGACCATGCATTTTTTTTTTTCATTTTTGAAACCTACATCAATTTCCCTCAAAGTTTCAAGCACCCGCTTCAATCAGTTATGTTTAGAAGTCATTTACGGCTTTAAAAAATAATTTGCAGTTTTGGGTCATGTTGAAAAAAATATTTTCTCAATCTTTTTTCAAATATTTATTTTTCTGACTTTAAATTACATCTTTTCCTTTATTTTTTTTTATCTGACTGGCTTCATTTTTTAAAAACACAATGTACTTCCATACGTAAACTTTACTGAAATAGAGCTCATTTCGAAAATAATAAGAACAATATATAATTCCATTTGTACAATCAGTGTTTTGGTTGAGAATTTCAAGGTTTTTGCTATTTGTCCATAGTACACATTTCCAGAGTCCATAATTATTTTCATATTATCGTAATATTACACATCTGGCGTTATTTGTTCATTACATGTGTGTTGTAGGTTGTACTTACTAAAACGACAGCCAACAGACGAAAACTAGGAGAGAGCTTTTGAAATTTAAAAAAATTATCCAATATGGCGGATGTTTGCTTGCTTAGCAAGGTTAACATATGCGCTCAGAATAATAAATAATTAATTGATTTTATTCTTTGATGTCTGACTAATATAAATATAATATCATCATTGCTGTATTTGGTCAAGGGATATAGATTTGAGAAATTTCACTAGCAGATGGCTTAACACGTCTAGTCAGCAATATCTACATTTAGAAACTTTATCTTTGTTCTTGCATTAACAATATAACATGTTGTATCGATACCGAACTTGCACCTTGCCTACAATTGGGAAACAAAACAGAACACGTGAAACCAAAGATAGTAAATAAGAAGATGGGCCACTCAGCCAAAAAAGTGTCCGCAGGAAGTATGCTCTTTGCTTCAGATGGCGCTGCAGTCTGTTTTGAAGCTCTCTTTTGTTTTTCCAGAAGAAGAATAGGAATAGCACCTCCTTGCGTGCGCAGATCGACTGCTGTTCATCAGCAGTTCGGGTACGTTCAGTGCGGAGTTTTAGGTTTTTAAAAATGTTAATGACCTCTCGCCTTTCATTCTAAAGTCAAATTAAACGAAGAAAACCATCACCCTTTCCTTCGGAAGAGGTTTTTTGTCAGCGTAACCATTTTAAAAAAGCGTTCTTCCGAAATTTATCCCAAAACATGCTAGTTTCACTTTGATTTTGTAAAACTCAAGTAGGGTAACTCTGTTCGCAAAGAGTGCGCTTTTGTGAAGAGGGCGCCACCAAATTTTGAGGACACTTTTTTAATTGGCTCAAAGAGAGAAGTGGCCCATCTTGTTATGTACTATCTTTGGTGAAACACAATCCCGAAGAACAGCTGTCAACAAGACACGACAAGGCACGATTCTAATACCATTCACATAGAAAACGTGGAAGGCAAAGAAACTCGAGCGAATGATAACACACCTATCATCAAAAGGAAAAAAAAAAGTGGTTTGGGCACCTCGCCCGTTTACCAGCACACCACCCAGTCCAGCGTGGGTATAATACATGTAATGTACACACTTCAAAGACAACAAGGCTAGAAGACGACCGAGAAAGACACTGTCTGGAATCAAGGAGACCTTAATTTTGACACACCATCAGGTCAGACCATGGATTCCCCTGCCTTCCTGCGTTACGTCCCCGGTAGAATAATAATAATAATAATAATAATAATAATAATAATAATAATAATAATAATAATAATAATAATAATAGTAATAATAATAATAACAACAACAACAATAATAACAACAATAACAACAACAACAACAATAACAGATGCACCTATTTAGCGCACTTCCACGCTCTTCAGTATGCTCTATGAGCTTTACAAGCTTTATAAGCGGCAGACAACAAAATAAGTGAGCTGTGAAGATGAATGGGGTACAGTCCATGCCGGCTATAAGCACGGTCGTCGGGAGAAAGCTTAAGCGTGCTTAAAGCCGAAGCGTGCTTGAGTGCGAAGTAGACATAATCCAGAGATTTTCATGTAGAAAATTTCCCGTGCTATTTCCTTTTGTTTGTAAGTAGGCCTATAGCCGTCCCGCAAAAGTGTGCACTGTTATTTAGACACCCGCCATGGTAGTTTTTGTTCGCTTGTTTATTTTTGTTTTGTGGTCGAATGGGATATGAAAACTTAATTTAGACGGCCAGTCACGATACAGCACACTAGGCCTATACACTGCCTGTGCGTACCACTGCCCGCTGTGCCACTCATACCACCGCCTTCATCCCACCTCGCGCGTGATACACAATCAGGGTTAATGGATAGCGAGGGTCAAAGGTGAAATCGCAGCCAGCCTCCCTTACTCATCTCCCCGACTCTCTTTGTATTTTTTTGGGTCGTGTGTAGCTCTCTCCTAGGCCTAGGCTAGATCCTATGTCCGCGCGCGCGGCTGTGTGCATCTGACTTCCTCTCCGCTCGTGTGAGTGTGAAAGTCCATCACTTGCGTTCTTTGTGTTTCTCTTGACACACTCCACTGATGCGGTGTAGTCTGTGTTCGAACTTCGATGGGCCATCATGAAAATATTGACTGTCTTGTAAATGAAGCGTGCTTGGAGCCGAAGTTACCGTGCTTAAAGGCGTGTAATTTATATAGCAAAAATTCGGTAAGAGCCGTTTAGCGTGTTTGAGTCCGAAACGTGCTTAAGGCCGGCGTGCTTAAAGCCGGCACGGACTGTACAACATTGGCGTGAAAAACGCAATATACATTATTATAATATAATGATATCTCTGTCTGACTTGACAGAGAAAATAATGGAAGCACTCATCATGTATGGTATTGTTCCTTTTACAATGTCCGGTTATTCAGGAGACAGGAACTCTGAATTTAACACCAATCAGATCAG